TAAGCATTTTTAAAGTTGGTCCTTTCACATATTATTTTAAAGACGTAACTTTTATATTTATTTAATATATTTAAATTTTTTATTTTTTAAAGTGTTTACTTAAAGACTTATGTACATACTTAATTTATAAAATTACATTTGTTTATATATATTTGCCATCGATGACCATTTTTTTCTTAATAATTTCAATCCTTCGAGTTAAGTTAATTAGGATGCCTTTTTCTCACAATGAAATAAAATTTTGCACGTAAACTTGCATAAAATATTACTCAAATAACAATTTCGATGTTGCAACCTGCAAGGCCTCAATTTATGTTGAAAAAATTTATCATTAACAATTTTTTTTTTTTTAACTTGTAAGCATGTTAAAGCATGTATTTATTATATTTTTTGTAATTAATTTATATAAAAATATAAATTTTAATTTAATTTAATTAATTGACCATTAAAATTATAAACATAACAATGTTATTAAAATAAATATTAATTTTTATATCAATTAATTATAAAAATGTAAATTTATTATATATATTATTAATATATGCACTTAAAATATGGATGAGAGAAACCTTATTATTAATCATAGCTACAACAACCTATTTTTTAATTCTAAAATTTGAAAAATTTCTGTCGGTTGAGAGATTCAACAGATTTTAATTTTAATTAAGAAAATCAGTTGAGGACAGAAAGCCATGTGGTCGATATATTGCTATGGTTTGCTAAGCAAGTCCATATTTTTTTTCCCACCAACACAAGGTGCTAATAACAAGAAGCAACTTTTATTAATCCGTATTTAATGAATAATTAATCGAGGATTTGGACAAGGAGGCAAGATGATGGGTCGGTTTCATTCATATATGTTTGGTCATTATAAATGTCTATGACAAGTACGGGCGTATTAATTAATATGCATTTGATGATGCCTTACAAAATGCAATATTGAAGGACCCTCTCTTCCAATTTTGATAATTAAATTGTCTCACATGTCCTCTATATACATGTGTTGTGTCCCTTTCTTGTGTGGTGGGTTGTTTGCAGTTCATAAATCAGTGCTTCACTGATTTTCGTTGCCTTCTCTTTTTGTGCCAAAAATTTCAACTTTTGAACAATACATAATACCAACCGAAAAAATAAATAAAAGGATACTTATTAGTGTGAATAGGACGAGTTGTCAATTTGTTAGTATCGTAAGATTATTCTGCTTAAAATTCAGATATTCACGATGTAAAAGAATAAGAAACAAACACATTACCGGTCAAACACTCATATGTTGATATTTTGGGGGTAAAGTTCTTATATCTTGATATATTGTGAGCTATGGTTAAAAAATATAGGCATAACATCACTCCCCTCATGTCTTTTAAGGGAAGAAATGAAACACCCATCTCACTGTAAGACTAATTGATAGACAATATTTTCTTTCACTAAAAAAATTCACAATATTTTTATTTTTTAATGCAAACATAGGATTAACAATAGATTTAACAAAATTTAAAATAAATATTTATTTTTGAAGATGACCTTGAAGAAATTAGACAAATTATTCATCATATAAAATCTTCTTATATTAGATATATTTTAACAAATAAATAGATTTTTTTAGGTTAAAATTCCAATTTTAGTCCCAAACTTTGCACTTTGAACACTTTTGATTCATGAATTATTTTTTGTTTTTTGCCCTTCAACTCTACAATTTGTACCCTTTTTTGGTCTTTTTGTTAATTAACTGATGATGTGACCATTAACTCAGCCCAAAATAGCACCTTTTTTTTTTTATTTTTTATGATGTGGCAATAAGATATAATTGAAGTAGTTTCGTGAACCCAAGGTGCCCAAAAATGTTTTTGATAGGAAAGAAGTATGAGGAGAAGGGAGATTTTAAGGGTATTGTTGTCATTTTATAAGTTTAATATTTTAATTTATAAATAAATTTAATTGGTGGATAGTTTTTAGTTTTTCAATTTATTATTTTTTATCTATTTGAATTAAAATTGCCGACTAAGAGGCTATATATTTTGCTTTTCAAAAAAAAAAGAGGCTATATATTTTGTCCAACTAAGTTAAGAAGGACTAATTTATAATAGATATATCATCAAAAAATTGAAGGAAAAATAAAATTTTAAATGAGCTAATAGTCACATCTTAACCGACAAAATGACAAAAAAAAA